TGATTACACATACAAGTATGGAATAATCCATTTTTCCTCCTCTCATAAAACAACTTAGTCGGGGCTTACGTAACATGGCCTTTAATTTTTCACATGCCTACATTTAGAAAGCAATTTAGATTTCTTGTCTGTTCTGTAGAAATTCTGAAATGTATAACTTCTTTTCTAATTATAGTCCACAGTTTTTAGATCCTGCTTTGTGTGTAAAATCTTATTTTAACTGTCCATTTGTTTATGCTCTTAATTTTTAATTCTAACAATGTTGTACATTTAACGTCCTGCCTTTTCGTAAAAAAGGTTTTGTGGTTATAGTATCTTTGTTTTCTTGACCCTACATTAGTGTCAATGTAGGACAGCTCAAGTTAATCGCAGTTGTTTGGTAAAATGCATTAATAGTTTCACATTTTCCCCTCACCCAATCAAAAGAGAGCTATCTTTTTCCCTTTAATTAGAAGATGAGGAAGTGGGGGCTTGAATTTGTCTAACAATGCTTTGAAGTTATGTTCTTTTATTTGTCGGATTACATTGTTCGTGCAGCAATAATGAAATGTCATCATGTTCTGTTAAGTATTTTATGGCGCTAACAGAAAATCGGGAAGGGTTTCTCAATTATATTTAAAATGCTATATATATATATAGATAGATATAATCTTAAGTATATATGTATTTAAAAACTACACGCACACACATACTTATAAATCTGAGAATACGTAATTTTCTTTTAAGAACGTCTGTACAGAGTGCGATGGATAAAATGTCGTCTAAATTATGCAAAAAATGAAAATAACACTGACCTCTCATTTTAACAGATATATTTACCAAAATTACACAAGAATATTTCAACCACAGCCTTCAAATGACTTCGGAATCTCCTGCAACTGTTCTGGACAGTCTCCTTGTTTAAGTTGGTGAATTCTGCCATAATCCTTACCGTTAATTCAATTTTGGTGTTACAAGGAGTTTTGTTGGTCTCTCGCTCAACTGCACCCCACACATAATAATCAAGGGGGTTGCAGTCCCGGGAGTTAGGTGGCCAAATGTAAGGGGTGATATGATTGCATAAATTGACAGCCATGAATGGGTTCTCCTGCTTGTGTGGCATGGTACAGAGTCCTGTTGCCAGAGTATAAGGTCTTCCAGTAGCCACCCTCTTGACTCAGGGCAGCACTAACACATATCACCGCCTCTAGTAATTTTGTCCACACAAACATGTATATGCACAAAAGCTGAGTATCATCTACCATGTATTCAATTGTGAAAGCAGAATAACATACATAATATATTTATTACTTTGTAGCTCCCAAGAAGATTAAATTTCAGCATTAAATGATCCATAAGTAGTTAATATGATGTTAAACAAACAAAAGAAACATTCCATCTCTAACTTTCATATACTTATCGAACCTAAATTTCTGTGAACTTCTGGATTCTTTCTTGTATTAAAAGTATGCAGACATTTTCAGTGTCTCTTCTTTGAAAACAAGAGGCTGAATAATTGTTGAAAACAGGTGTTCAGTAACCAGTGTTCATTTGTCCTGCGTTGAGGGAGGGAGGGAAGAAAGAAAGAAAGAAAGAAAGAAAGAAAGAAAGAAAGAAAGAAAGAAAGAAAATAGCGACGGACAAAATACACACAAAAAACTGTAGAAGCGAAGAAGATGATTGATGAAGCCAATGGAGTTGTATGTGTCGTGAATGGTTTGTGAAGTTGAATATGAGTTAGTGAACAAACCTGATCAAATAGCAAATCTGGTCAGATAAGTGGACCGGGCCGCACTCCTTGTAGATTGAAATATGAAAATTATCCGTTCAAATATATCTGTTTATATTTGAAGTTGAAATATATGATCAATGCATTCTACTTGTTATGTTGCTGGCAGTGGGAAACGTCACAGTTCTTCTCAGTCAGCTCTCATTTACTGCAAACGAAGCCGATGAAGACATCAACTACGCCGACAACATCGATGAAAAGTTTATTTTTGATACGGAGCAGACAAAAATAAGCTTAATAGTCATATGAATAGTTTAAAATAAAGGCCATGTTTTGTTAACAATTTAAACTTTTTGTTATATATTAGTTAGTCTGAGACGTAAATGAGTTTTATTCATACCTTTCTGAACACGTTTTCGGAAAATACTACTAATAATATTTAGTTCTCGTGTTTAATACGTCCACTGACCTTTTAATCATAAATATTTGGGAAAAAAGTGTGTAGTATACACGGACAATTATGGTACTAAATGACATAAGTCATTATACCTATACTCTAAAACAGTGCTTCTCAACCCTTTTCAGCCCATGGACCATTTTTTTCTTCAAAAAATTCAAATGGACCACGCCTACTTTTAATTTTAGGCTGTTTAATTTCCAAACTAAAATAATGAATGAAAAGACAAACTAGTCTATTTACACTTAAAAATTTATTTTTGCAAACAGGATATCAAAATCAATTCTAATGATGTTATTAGTATGATGGTATCTGCCACATAGAGTTTACCGACTATTTTGTGTTAGGAAGAATAACGTGTTCCAGTAGCAAACCGATACTAATATCAGCATTAGTGTAGCCATTGATACACTAACACTGAATACGATTATAAAAAGACGAAATACGCGGGCGTAACAAACAAAACATTTAATAAGGCAAACAACTTACATACATATATTAAAAAGATTTACATATGTCCCAAAACAAATGAATGTTCATATTGTCCCAAAGAAACAAGGAAGTTTACAGAACGAGAAAAAAAATAACATACCAGCTATATGGCCTTTGATAGTCCGCAGATAGGTGAATGGAAATTACTTTTTTCTTTCGCTAGGCCGTGCACATGTTGACCAGTTTCCACGTGTGTGGACACCCTGGTGGCCAGCAAGGTAAAGAGGCCGTTCCTCCAAAAAACGGAAGCAAAGACAAAAAAAGGACAGAAGAATTCTACCCTCTAAAAGGGGCCAAAACTCCCATGAGCCCAAGGGAAAACAACTGTGGTCTCCCTGCAATGTCATTCAGTCTTAGTCCATTCAGCTAGTGACTACCTTGATCTTGGTGTTTCTGACACAAGAGATCATAATTAATTTTGATGATGTCATTCAGTCTTTGATAGTTCCTCTGCTGTCGAGATCTAACTTAATTCTTTTTCTACTGGAAACAACCACAACAGCCGAAAATCCTGATTTCATCATCCATGTTGTAGGGAAATAAATGCTGCTTGCTTTTACATATTGAAAAATATTTGAGTGTGAGTCATTTATCGATATGTAGGCAAAGACACTTTCTTTGTCAATTCTCAGTTTCATATTCTCTTTCAATTCCAGCAACATTTCAGCCAACTCAACATTTTCATTCCCTGGCTCATAATTTTCTATGTCTAAAAACCAGTGTGGATAATCCATCTTTAATAGATCATTGTATCTTTTCTCAAAGTCTACATGAAGACCTTTAAGATGGGAAATGCATGCAGCAACAAATGGCTACGAATTTTCTTTGGACCACTAGAAATGCTATGTGGACCACCGGTGGTCCACCTGGACCGCGTTGAGAAACACTGCTCTAAAAGACTGTCACAGCAGATACTGCTCAAATGAGGCAGATCAAGCGGTTAGTGAGTCGACCAAGACGAAGTAAATTGTCACTTTGTTTAAGTCGGTCCAGTTAAACAGCTTGGTGGCCGTATTTCCTTTAAATTTCCTTTAACACTTTGTCACTCAAGTGAAAGCAATAAAAGAAAATTAACGCTTATAAAAATAGATATGACAGAATGGGACTACTGATACATCAAGAAGTGTGTATATGAATCAATCGTATGACCAGAGGCTATAATATTGTTGGATTTCAAAATCTAGACAAGGAAATCAATCTGAGTTGTTTAGAACAAAGGGAATAAAATATGCCAATGTAAGGACCTGGGTGTTTCAATAAGCCATGGAATGAAAGTCCAAGAAATTGTCATCCCACCACCAAAAGTAAGAAATAAGAAAGAAAGAAAGAAAGAAAGAAAGAAGATAAGTATAATAATCTTGACCGATAACAAAAAATGTTATGTAATATGAAGATTAAGGTAGTAACCATAATTATTGGTGCACTTGGAAGTGTGCAAAGTAAACTAGAATTGAAACTAGAAATGATTATTCGCGATATAGACATGAAAATTGTAGGAGGAGGATTCTGAAGATTAATTAATTCTTTTTATTTGATCGGAGCAACAAACACCAGACGCCAGTTGTTAACCTGAAAATACGTGAAAAAATAACGAAGACAACGAAGGCTGTAAAAACAGAAGACCGCACTAAGTACATTGAAATACTCAATAAAGCATGAAGATATGACAAAATAAAATGAAAGAATTATGAGGCGAATAAGAAAAAATATTTAAAATCAAACGACATAACAGAAATTTGATAAAAGAAATGAATACCTGGGGATTAGGGAAGTATTGGCGGTGTAATGCCTAGCGGCTCGGATCAAGGTCGAAGAGCCGAGTTGGAATTCTGATAGTGTCCGTTACTTTTCATTTCGCATAAATACAATTAGAAAAGATACGAATCCATCTCTCTTTCCCCCCCTAGCTATGGTTTAAATATCAGGGCAGTCTAAGACATGAGTCGGCAGTCTACGGCACGCCTGCTACGCGTAGTACGCCAAGCGATTTCCAATGGCAGGCAGTCGCAAATGACATCACGAAGTCCGAACCAATAACTACTACAACGCAAAGAAGATATTAACCGTTTCTATTTTAATATATACTAAAGTATATATACTATATATTACTATATAAAATATATTGTAGAACAGGTATATTGACCTTGACTTGTATAAAAATACGTATGATGTTAACAGTGAATGATTTTAAAACCCTAAGTCGGTACATAGCAAAAGGATAATTCTGAATTCAAAAGAGTGTGCAGCCATCGAAAGATCGTAGAGTTCACAGTAGCTCCACGGTCTCGACTGCGGTCGATCTGATAGAAAGCCGGACTAAATCGGAACAGTTTAAGGCTACATCACGTTGAAACACCAGTTCTCGTACGACCACGAAAGTTAAGCAACGTCAAGCCTTGTCCGTACCTTGATAAGAGACCACTTGGGGATACTAGGTGCTGTAAGGTGCTGTACGGGTGATGCAAAAGAAAATGGCTCGGAATTGCTAATCGTAGAGGCGAGTTCCAGTTCCACTTTGGTTCATTGTATATACTTACGAATACCCTTGGGGAACGTATGAATCAACCTCTTCTCTTCCCATCTATGGGTTAATTAGTAAGATTTCTATCACTAAATCATTATTATCAAAGACAATTCTTAGAATCTAAAATATTTTATGGCTTTAAATAACCTTCAAAAGGTCGATAAACCGTAAAAAACGAATCAATCATAAAGTGGAACGCAAATCAACGGGTTGTCGAACTTGGAAACTTATGAGCACACACAAAGATTTATACCTCACAAACAATACGGGTACCATATATTAAAAAAGCCGGGTGAGTACCCTTCAGTTTTGAAGAGTAACGAGCATGATTTACATGCCTATTCGCTAGTACACAGATTTTGAACTTCATCGGTGCTTGACAATTGTGGCCTTGTCCTGATAAACTGTGTATAATTAATTGGGAATGGTTAGTGATTAATATTTAATAAACAAATAAAATTATCGGACATTATCATTTTCCCTGATTAAAAAACATGAATAAAATGAATTGCACTCAGTTTTTTCTTCTCTTTATAGGACAATGGCTTCAGTTATGGTTATATTTATTGCAGTCCTGTGCACCATTGAAACTCTATTTGGTAGGTAAAAGTAGTTTTTTGTTATCTCTTTTATAACTTGATTCTAATTCCATTTTAGAATTATACAGGTCGCATATATTCTGGCATTCATGCTTCAATGGATTTTTGAACCCCAACAACATTTTATATCTATTTTGAAATGTATTTCAATAGTAAAAAAAATTAGGCCTATTATTTTATTAATGCTTTCCACTGACCAAAAGTATTTCATCATTTGCAAATTGCTACATATAAAAACACTGCTACAAAAATTAAAAACAATAATTCCTATTATTTTATTAGTAATGCTTTCATTCATTCCTGACCACTGACAATCTCATTTTCATCATTTGCAATTGCTTCATATATTAAAACACTGCTACAAAATAATAATTCTACATATAATAGCCCTATTCTTTTAGTAATGCTTGCATTCATTCCTGACCACTGACAATCCCTTTTTTCCTCATTTGCAATGCATTCTTATAGTAAAACACTGCTACAAAATAATAATTCTACATATAATAGCCCTATTCTTTTAGTAATGCTTGCATATATTCCTGACCTCTGACAATCCATTTTTCCTCATTTTTCCTAGTAAAACATTTGCAATGCATTCTTATAGTAAAACATTTGCTTACAAAATAATAAATAATAATTCTACATATAATAGCCCTATTCTTTTAGTAATGCTTGCATTCATTCCTGACCTCTGACAATCCCTTTTTTCCTCATTTGCAATGCATTCTTATAGTAAAACACTGCTACAAAATAATTCTAATAATATAGCCTATTCTTTTTAGTAATGGTTGCATTAATTCTGACCACTGACAATCCATTTTTCCTCATTTGCAATGCATTCTTATAGTAAAACACTGCTACAAAATAATAATTCTACATATAATTCCTATTCTTTTAGTAATGCTTGCATTCATTCCTGACCACTGATAATCCTTTTTTTTCCTCATTTGCAATGTATTTTTATAGTAAAACACTGCTACAAAATAATAATTCTACATATAATAGCCCTATTCTTTTAGTAATGCTTGCATTCATTCCTGACCACTGACAATCCCTTTTTTCCTCATTTGCAATGCATTCTTATAGTAAAACACTGCTACAAAATAATAATTCTACATATAATAGCCCTATTCTTTTAGTAATGCTTGCATTCATTCCTGACCTCTGACAATCCCATTTTTCCTCATTTGCAATGCATTCTTATAGTAAAACACTGCTACAAAATAATAATTCTACATATAATAGCCCTATTCTTTTAGTAATGCTTGCATTCATTCCTGACCACTGACAATCCCTTTTTTCCTCATTTGCAATGCATTCTTATAGTAAAACACTGCTACAAAATAATAA